ATCTGTACAAATGCTTCTTGCTAAACCAGGACCAACATTCACAAAAAACTTATTAAACTTATTTACTACATCCTCCAATCTTTTGACCGGTGTATCATTGTCCATAAAATATTGAGGGTAGTTACTCCTGCTGGTACTGTTTCTAATCAATTTATTTAATATATTCCAAGTACCTTTCATGTTATTTTTATTATCCTCTAATACTTTAGAGTAATATTGTTTCTTACATATCCTCAATAACGCAGTTAATTTGTTCTTGTATAACTTGTATTTTTCTTCCGCCTTCTTGGATCTGTCCTTTATGAATTCCTTATATAACGCATTCTCCTTTTTACATGCATTCTGTAATCCCTTACTCATCCACGGTTTCCCAGTGTAATTCCTCTTGTTTTTATACTGCTTACGAGGACAGTTCCTGTCATTTACTTTCATGAATAAATTTAAAAATTGCTCATATGCTTTGTCTAAATCTTCCTCTTTGTAAACTGCTTCCCAGTCTTGCCCCAAAAAGTCCTCTTTTAGCCTCCTTACAGCATGTTCGTTCATCACCCTCCTATAAAAAAGATTTGTTTTTGGCCTTTCATTTCTAACATGGCAGTCATAAACCAAAAATACAGGTAAATACAGGTAAATGATCATTTATAAGTAATCCACTTGTCATTGTGCTTTCAATATCATTAGTAAATATATTATCTATTAGTGTTGCATGCTGGGTTGTTAATCTACTTGGTTTTGTAATTTTTTGGGTATAAACTGCATCTATATAATGTGTTAATAAGCTCCTCAGTTGCTGTGTGCTTGTTAGGATTCAACAAATCTATATTAAAGTCACCACATATGAACATAAATTTATGACTTATTGACGCGTAATTTTCTTCCAGCCAGTCGTTAAATTTTTCTATGCTGGCTCCAGGTGCTTTGTAGATACAGCTTATTACAACATTTTTCTTTTTTTCCAAAAATAGTTCAACAGTCACACATTCGAGTAAATTATCTACTACCCTAGACATTTTGTCTACATTCTTATAACAAAAGTTTTTATCTATGTACAAGGCCACACCACCTCCCATCTTATTCTCTCTGTTTGTGCATACCAAGTCATAGCC